ACGGAAACAACTTCATATCTTGTACCAAAATACGCTGTAAGACCGTCGACTTATACCCATTTGCGTGGCACGTCGTCTGGTCGATGTCGACGGCGCTTCCATGACATCCTCGGCTACAGCAGCAATATTCTCAGCAGAACCGCTACTCCGGGATCTGCCACGCATGGCAGCATCTCGTGTTGTGCCAGTCTCTTCGAGGCGAGCAGCTAAACGTTGCAGTGTTTCACCAGTAGGCGTTGGACGGCCAGGAAATCTACGACGAAATTCACGTTGTGCCAAAGTCACCGACCAATTATTGGTCAAATAAATAGTCAGCAATATTCCGCGTTCTGGAGCAGTGTAGCGTAACAGTGTTTATTAACGTGTATTTCGCGTGTGTTTACTACACAAATGTCAAAACAGAACTAACATTAGGGGCCAATCGCAAAATTTATAGCATTTTCTAATAGGAGGATTACTTTTGCGCCACCTTGTATAATAGCGTCATTATACAACATTATTCCAATATTTATTAACTTTTATAATCATTCCAATATTTTGGAAAAATGTAAAAAAAAAATTTTGGTATTTTTTTAAATTTTAATAACTTTTTTGCATAATTTTGTTCGCTGGGTTATAATACTTTACATATTTAAAAACTAGAGACAATTATCTTTTCAATGATATGAATCACTTGTACCAAAAGCCATTGGTTGATTTATCGCTCTTTTTAATATGTCTATGCCCCTATGTGCATTGTGAAATTACTTTTATTAACGACACATGTACGTATACGTGTTAATTATTTATTGATACATATTACAAATATTAAGTATACGCATAATTTAGAAGTATTTTGCCGATTTTGATCTTGAAGATGAAGACAAGAGTTACAAATTTGCCTGAGAGTAAATCAAACGGGCGGTTTGCATGATTCAGCACAAGAAAACGATCACTTTTTGCAAAAAATACACCGAATCAAAAGTTTCTCTGTTTCGGTTGACGCTCCGTCACTAAATAAAAACTTACAAAACGTAGCTACGATTGTATTACAGAATACAGGAATTGCTTCTTCTTCGTTTTTTGTTGGAATACCTTTTTCAATCGTTACGTAACTGAATGATGAAACGTAATCGAAATGCAGAACAGAGCTGAATATCAGCAACAAGAAAATTTACATCGAATAGTATATTAACCCTTAATAGCATGATTTTTTGTATAATGGTCCGGTTGTATGTAGACTAGGTGAAAAAATGGAGCGATTACAACCATTTTCAATGGTATTGGTCCTTGGATCGAAACATGAAAATTTCATAAAAATATCGTGAAAATTGCGGTCTATCAGGCGAAGGGACGGACATTTCTTAATCGATTCAAAAATTTATTCTGAGTTGTTCGGTATACTTAAAGGTAGGTATATTTTTGTGTGCACCAAACAGCACCAACACATAACACCAACCCAACTATGGTGGTGTAGAGTGTAAATACCAGGTTGCTTCTTAGCAGAATCACCAGGCAAAAATAAGCGATTTCATGATTAATGTAGAATTTATAAGAAAAAATAAATCCGATTTAACAAATTTTTCTATTTAATTATTTGTAAGCGAATGTGGCAAGTACTTGCCTCTAATGTCATCACCGAGTTAAAATGCTAACGAGGAAGTAGTGCAAATCAATGTAAAATTTTGCTGGGAATACATAAATATTTAAATTTTTTTAAAACATATTATATTTAAATGATTAAAGGACTTTAAAATGGAAACAAACATAGTTTATACCATTCTCTAACACATACTTACATACACTTTTTATGTATACGTACATAGTAAATAATTATAGTAAAAGCTCACAGGCGTTAATGTGGTTGAAACATCCGCTTATCGTAAAAGCTATTTCAACTTTATCTACTCATAAGCTTTCCCCCTGTATTCATAAACGCTTGTCACCACTGTTGCCAGATAATATTGGCAGAAAATCGTCAAAACTAAACTTGAAAATCGGCAAAATACTCTGAATTAGTCAAAAAAAATCGGCAAAATTATAAAACACAAAAATGGTTGACAAATTTAAAAGTTCTTATCGAAAACCTGGTAATGACTTGTACTTACTCAACAACTTACTTTTCAATGACATACATACCGTCTACATTACTTATAAGGAGTCTAGTATTGACTTTCTTTTAATCTGATATATAAGTACTTTATTTTCGTCATTGTCATTTTGTTTGCACATTTTATTTAATTGCGAGTTAAGAATTGTGCTTTACAGAAAAGAAAAAAAAATAAATTGCATGTAAAAACCATTATTAGACACCCTATAAAATACATAACTAAACAGTGAGTAGAACATTTGATTAACAATCCGAAGTCCCTGGTTCGTATTCTAGCTGGGGCTAATTCTCACATTCGTATAGGTACGTACGAATTTATATTCGATCGTACAAGTTTTTTTTTACTTTTTGGATTATTCGATAACGAATAAAACGTATCGAAGATTCTTATGATTGCTTTCGAAGTAAAGTTTTTGTGAAAAAATTAATGAGAAAGAACATGAATTTTAATAAATTAAAATTAAAAAAAAAAAAAAAATAAAAAATAAATGGAATACTTTTAGGTCAAAAGTGAATTATGCCAAAATAAATCTTTGGCAATTTAATGATAAATCACAAGAGGTTTATGCCAAATACTTCAAAAGGGAAACAACTCTATTTCGGCGGGTACTGGCAGTTATAATTTTATTGCAGATGTTTCTTAAAGATATAAATATAGTAATTATATATTTGAGATCCAAGTTTAAAGGACTAAAACAGGACAAATGGTTCCATGAATATAGAAATTACATTTAATAAAATCTTATTCCAATGTTTAAGTTTTGAAATATTGATTTCTATGAGGCAAAATAATTGTTATTATTTAAGCACTAAAAATATTTTTAAACAAAACAAGTAAGAAAGAAAATTGCGACCTATAGCGTGAGCACAAGGTTTACATGGACACAAAGACGGATGGACGGACATAGCTAAATCGACTCAGAGCCGATTGTTATACTTTAAGGACGGAGTAGGACCAATATTTTTGGGTGTTATAAATATCAGCACAAACGCATAATACTCTCCCCACTATAGTGGGGTATAAATATGATGCAATATTTGAATTTCTCGCGATTCTCTCATGAAACGTCCATTTGAAAAAAACAAATTTATCCAAATTCAGAAAATACAGATTTTTAATTTTGTCCACCTAGATTTTGATGGGAACAAATCGCTGCTAAATTAAATTTTTGTGACCCACCAATAAAAGATGTCTATAATCCAAAAAAAAAATCCAATCAATCAAAAAGCAATTAAACTCCATATTTATATTTTAATTTAATTTATTTTTTTTAATTTTGCTTTAAAGTTTTGATATTTAATGAAGTTTTGTTAACATTTCGTTCAGTATTGTAAAACATAATCGAAAAATTATATTAGTTAATATGAATTGCAATTTTATTTTGACTTAGGTAAAATATTAGCAGATGTTAGTTACAAGACCTTAACAGATTTTTGGATAATAATTTAACTACCGAATTTAGTTAATTTCAGCTGCAGATATTTTTATACCCTCCACCACCATCAGTGGTGATAGAGGATATATATAACTTTGTCATTCCGTGTGTAACACCAAGAAATATTCATCTGAGACCCAACAAAGTATATATATTCCGGGTCCTTATCAAATTCTGTGTCGATTTAGCTATGTCCGTCTGCCTGTCTGTGTGTGTAAAAGAAAGCCAAGGAAATCAACCAAGTTCTCCGAAAATATTCATTATTGGCCTGAACAGTTTGGTATTGATAATCAGCAATATCGGTTCATAACTTAAAGAGTTATGAGTAAAAATTTCAGACTACCTCGAAAAAAATTAATTTTTTTTCATAATTCTCGAATAGTTTTCTCAGATACTACCAAAGATTATTCAATGAATTCTATCACACGTTATTTATTTTGCCCAGGGATCAATTACGTTCAAAATAAAAACAATCGGTCCAAAATTTCTCATAGCCCCCATATAAGGTCCATATTCTCGAAAATGGGTTTATCGTTAATAACTTCGTCAAAAATATCGGGATATTAACAAAATCATATTACCAACGTAAATCTGTATCGGTCCATAAATGGTCATAGCTCCCATATAAGGTCAACTTCCGATAATCACTTATATGCACTTAACTAATTAAGAAATAAAGATATTGCTAAAATATTCCCATGTTTTTTTTTAATTTACGGATTCTATCCTGGCCTCTAAGTAGTCTTAAAAAAATTAAATCCAAAAGAATTATTCAAATCAGTCCAGCTGTTTAACTGTTATTAATTTTGACAAAAAAGGGGGAAATTCCCTATAGTAAAATGTGTGATCGTAGCTATGAAATTGTTATTTTTAAGAAAATTTTTGTAATATAAGATTTTTTTACATTTTTGAAGAAAAGCGTGTAAATTAACTTTAGTGATTACAAACAGACTTTTAAAATCATTTACATAATGAACCTGTTAAAAAATAAGTAGGGTCATACCACTTTCAAAATAAACGATTTGTTTAAATGTCTCTTTTAATTTCTTTGAATTATCATGAAATGATTTGAATAATCTATAAAGCAATTTTAAATCATAATCTTGTTTTATAAACCTTTGATAAATTATTATGAATAAGACCCCTGACAAAAATATTTAATAATGTCTTGCCTATAAATTGACCACACAAAGTACTTGATTCCTTACAGTCTGTCTGTGTGGCAATTGGGGTGTTTCGATCATAATTAATTAATAGTTTAGACATTTAATATGTATTTTAGTGTAAATATGTATGTGTATATGTTAATTGTTATATGTATTTTAGAATGGATGAAGTCTTACTCATATGTACAAATGACTTTATAATTAATTTAAAGACTTTTAATAACTGACAACTATTTATGTTTAAAATTGTTAAATAGTTAAATCATTACGTTGTAAACTACTTAATTAGTTACATATAGTGTTCGAAAAATGTTAGCTGATAATGAAGTGAAGAATTTAAAGAAACGCAATTATCATAAAATAAGAGAATTAATAAGAATATCTCTAGGATTGGGTGTTAATTTAACAAGATCTTCGTTGTTTAAGGATTCCCTAAGGATGTAAGTAATTTATTAAAAATATCAAGTTATTCATATAGACGTATTAATAGCGATTTATTAATAACACATGCCCACCATACCAATTAGAATGATTTTAATGTATTTTTAGCTTCTGAAACCGAACCTAATATTTGGTTTTTTCTATCACCCAGCATTTTCTTGAAAAATGACATCGAATATTTTGTTCAAATATTACGGACATTTTATATAATTAAAAAAATATATGTATTTTCGTTTAAGAGTTAATTTCGATTTTTTTTATTTTTTTTATTTTATTCCCTTCTTTATTGTCCATAAGTCACATGGAGATTTTCTTAAAATTTTACAATTTCCTTAATTGTTAAAAGTTTGAAACTGAAGTTTTGAAACTGCAGTCTGTAGAGTATCTCTTAAAAAACTATACCCCAAGTACGGTATACGCTATCTCATGATGATAAAAACTGACATATAAGTTAATCCTAATATATCGTCACTTGAAATGCTTAACTGTGTAACAATTTAACAGGAGGATTTTTGATATATAAACGACATTTTCTTACAAGTGTTGTATCCCAACATCGGTAAACACATTTGAATATAACTGTACCGCCGCCAGACATTTTCTATTATATATTGTTTTTTATTGTTTTCTTACTTGTGGAAATGAATAATTTTTTTACGCCTTTTTGAATTTTATTTCAATAAAATCGGTATTTTTGACAATAGGGTTCTGAAAATTTGCAACAACATGTATTTTGATGCTATTTTCAATCAAAAAGTCTATATTAAATTTTTTGGTTGTCATGGTATTATTAGAATATTTTCCAAAATTTGTTAAAAAATTTGTTTCTCAGTTAAGTTTTTTGTGACATTAAATAATCGGAACCATCCGTAATAACTTTTTTAAATTTTTGACCAATTTTTGTGTTTTATATATTATTGGAACGATGATTGCATCATATTCCAATTATTTGCTGTTAAAATTCGAAAAGATAAATTTAGTGCCAAAAATTGTTTAAAAAATAATTTTTCTCTTCAGAGCCGTTGCGACACCAGTTGATGAGGTCCTATCACGCAAAATTTTTATACCCTCAGTCTGTATACCTAAAACACGCTCACGTTAAAACTAAGCAAAAGAAATAAACCAAATTCACCAAAAATATTCATTGTCCTAAGCAGTTTGGTATTGAAAATCAGCAACAACGTCAAAAGTTATGTGTACAAATTTCAGACTACCTCAAAAAAATTACGTTTTGTCACACCTTATTTTTTACCCACGTATCAATTATGTTCAAAATCATAAAAATCGATCCAAAATTTCCCATAGCCCCCATACAAAGGTACATATTTCCGGAAATATATTTATAGTTAATAACTTCCTCGGTATCAACTCAAAATTTTAAACATATAAATATAATATGAACAGAAATCATAGTACCAACGTAAATTCGTATAGCTCTCATATAAGGCCCACTTCCGAAAATCTCTCAAACGCGCATATTTCATTGATAAATAAAGCTATCGATATAAAATTCGACATGAAATTGTATGTATCTATCACTCTACGAAATTTTTTCCGAATCAGTCCATAATTGGTCATAGCTCCCATATAAGGTCCACTTCCGAAAATCACTTAAACGCTCATATTTAGTTATTGAAATATGAGCGTTTAAGTGATTTTTTTAAGCTATCGGGGTAAAATTCGCCATGAATATGTTTTGTATCTACATAAATCATTCAGTGAAAATTTTTTTCGAAACAGTCCACAATTGGAAATAGCTCTCATTTAAGGTCCACTTTCAATCACTTAAACGCGCATATTTCATTGATAAATAATGCTTTCGAGATAAAATTCGGCACGAATATGTTTTGTGATAGCCTCGAATTGGGCATAACTCCCATATAAGGTTCACTTTCGAAAATCACTTAAACTCACATATTTCATTAACTAATAAAGCTTTTCAGACAAAATTCGACGTGAATATGTTTTGAATATATATAAATCACTATGCGAAATTGTCCCAGATCGGTCCATAATTGGTCACAACTCCGATCATTTCCGTTTCATTGACATAAAAGTTTTCGGGAAAAAATAAAGAAATTACTAAATGATAGTATCCTCACTACGACAAACTAAATAGTTAAATGGGTTTTAATAAAAAGTACCTTGCTGGTGGAGGGTATTTAAGATTCGGCATAGTCGAATATAGCACTCTACCTTGTTACAGAATGCATTTCTATAACTTAAAGAATAAGTCTAAAGGCAACTTCTATAATATAACAGAATTTTATATTTGGGTGGGTGATACGACTTTTTTCTTTTTCATATTCAGAATCAGCATACGAAATAACACTGGAGTTAGTAAAAATTATTTAAAAAGTTTTTTCACTGTTGGCCTGTGTAATTAAAAATACATATCGCTCATTTACTACTGGCATAATCCATAATTCGTGTTTTTTGAACAGAGTACTAGAAAATATTTTTATATAAATGCAAAATTATGTGATAATATTAACCATAAATCCATTTTCCTGGAGAATATTAAGCTATGTATATGAAGTTCCGAACTAAATCTGAATTTTCAACCAAACTAATATCTGGACGAAAAAAGTCTTGTGACAAAATTTGTTGAATTAGCTGCTATGGTTTCTGAAAAAGAACTAATCAAGAATGAGAAAAAATGAATAATATCATGGGTTGTTGTTACTGATATCTATAAACTTTCCGAAGAATGAATTACTGAAGATTTGGATATTAGAAACTGATTTCAACCCACATACGGACAGACAGATAAACATGACTAAATCTATATGGATCACTTTCTCACTTTACTTTCTTACGAAGCTTACGTACCAAAAAAATAACTGAAAACTATTCTCCCTTTCTATTTTCAGAATAAATTTGATTTTAGTAATTAGCAGTGGTCTCTCCATGTATGGACATTGGAGCTATACAACTCGTTACTTTAAGGATCTCTCAAAAATAGCTGAAGTAAAGCATTATAAATTATTTTTAATGAAAATACAATCATAAAAAATATTCGATAACTCATGACAGCGGCAGCCAATACCTACTACGTATCTGAATTAATATTTCTTTAGGTTCTACTTGTCAGAATTTTTAGTATCATAGTAAAATAACAAAGTATTACTAAAAAGGTTAATTTTAGAATATTTGCATATATTTTAAATTTTTACAAACGAATTTAAAATATGCAAAAGTGTGCCATATATTAAAAAAGGGAAAGTTTTCCTCTAGGACCTACATATAACAACAATCAATTGTTTATTGCCTGGATCGTGTAAATGCGCCTTTACATTACAATTTATTTTTTACACACGCAACAAGAAATAAATTAGCAAATGTAAAACTTCCATGACCAAATTTTGTCACAACATTTACTTTTATTTTAGGTGGCATTCATGATCCAGGTCGATTGCTAGTTTTTGTGCTAAAATTTGTTCGATGCAGCTGATTATAGTGTTATTACTTTTATAAATCTCATAGAACACTGAAAGACAGGGAAATATAAATCAGCTATGCACTTAAAAAAAATTATATTAAAAATAACATTACCGTTTTAAAGAGATTAATATAATTTTCATAGATACTTACAACTAATTTCTTATTAAATATTTTACAAACTAATTAAAATATGTTATATATTAAAAGAGTGTCTGCACAGCTCTTCAAACTATTGTCTCAATGATAAAGATGGTCTATTTTCTCTTCATACAACGGAAATTATATATTCTCCTTACCCAGGCTCAAACTCATGAAATTATACGAAATATTGATATATTTCACAAAGGTAAATTTTATATTGAATATTAAAAATAAACCTAAAGTATTCCTAAAATATTTTATTATAGATTTTCCCATCTCGAATAAACTCAAAAAAATTATACACGATATTATGGAAATCAATTGGAAGGATATTCGTGGTCAATTGATATTCTATATCTGTTGTTGTGCTGGTATAATTAGCAATTATTTTTTTGTGGCCTTATTTAAGAATATTTATCATGAAATAAAGAAAACTCCCGACTATGAACATATATTACGTAAGTAGATCTATTAAATCTTTTCAAAGAGTTTGGCACTGACAAACGAGTTGTAAGTCGCTCAATTTTGTTCCCTACAAACAAATATGTAAAGACAATAATTATATCTATTTTCCATTGATATAAATAGTTGAAATAATTATACCCTACACCACTATAGTGGGGAGGGTATTATGCGTTTGTGCTGATGTTTGTAACACGAAAAATATTGGTCCTACACCCACCTTAAAGTATACCAATCGGCTCAGAATCACTTCCTGAGTCGATTAAGCTACGTCCGTCTGTCCGTCGGTGTGTCCACGTAAACTTGTAAACACTCTACATGTCGCAATTTTTGAGATAATTTGATAAAATTTGGAACTTGAGCTTCTTTTGGCCTAAATGAAACGAATGCTATTGAAAATGGTTGCAATCGGTCCATTATTTCACCTATCCCCCAACAGCCTGACCCCCGGAATAAGGCTTTTGACCTCATAATTATGTTAAATGGTCTACTATCTCTACAAAAATTGGCGAAACATAGATTTTTATAAGTCTTAATAATAGCGATTTTCGTAAAGATCGGGCATTATTTGACCCTAGCCCCCACACAAAGTCCCCTTCAGAAAATGACTTGAATGTCCACAATTCACTTATATACACTGGTATCACGATGAAATTTAGCACAAATAAGTTTTATATAAACATAAATCCGCACATTAAATTTTATAAGGATCGGATCAATTTTTGCCCTAGCCTCCATATAACCGGACACCGATTTGGGCCTTTTAGCTCATAACTACGTCAAATATACTACTATCTTTCCAAAAATTAACACAACTAAGTTTGATAAAATCCTAAATAACACAGTCGATATTCTTAATGATCAGGCCTTATTTTACCCTAGCCCCCATACAAAGTTCCCTTCAGAAAATGGGTTGAATGTCCAAAATTCACATATATATGTACTAGTATCACAATGAAATTTTGCACAAATAAGTTTTATATAAACATAAATATCCACATTAAATTTTATAAGGATCGAATCAATTTTTGTCCTAGCGCCCATACAACTGGACCTTCCGATTTGGGCCTTTTATCTTTTAACTACGTCTTATATACTACTATCTATCCAAAAATCAGCATAATTGAGTTTGATATAACCCTTAATAACACTGTCAATTCTAGTAATGATCGGGCCAAATTTAACCCCTATACAAAGTCCCCTTCAGAGAATGACTTGTATAAGTTTTATACAAACATATGTTTTATATAAACATAATTCCCAACAATTAATTTTATAAGGATCGGCGCAATTTCTGCCCTAGCCCCTATACAACCGGACCTTCTGATTTGGGCATTTTATTTCTTAACTACGTCTAATATACTACCTATCCAAAATTCGGTACAATGTGATGATGTTTGTAATACTTCTCAGGATCCAATGACGAAGGCTTTGAATATGATTGAAATCGGTCTTTTATTTCTCCTAGTCACTATACAACCATACATGAACAGGCTATATTTGGAACCTATGTAAGATTCAACATAAATGCTTTATTATTGAAAATTAATCACATTTAATATTCAAAATTGGTGTAGGGTATCATATGGCCGGCAACGCCCGACTATAGTTTCGTATTTGTTTTCAAATTGTTATTGTAAAAAATGATGTTAATGCAAATTATATTTTTTAAATTTAACTTTATTTTTTAGCATTTCCCGCTGTGTATCCAATATGGGAGGATAAGGGAATGTCATTTCCATATTATCAAATACAAATGTTTATGGGTGGATGTGCGGATTATATTGCCGGAATGTGTAAGTAACAAATTTAAAGACTTTTTATTACGAATTTAAAAAGTCCCTTTATTAAGTCGAATACTGATTATGACGTTGTCTATAAAGGAGTCTTTGACAAACTGTCCAATATTTTTTTATTTTGTAGGTGCCGTCAGTTTCGATGGGGTTTTCATAGTGTTGTGTGTACATGGCGTTGGTCTAATACAAGTACTAAATGCCATGATTGAAAATTCAACTTCACCTGAAGTGCCCAAAGAGAGACGTGTGGAATATTTACGCTATTGCATTTTTCAGTACCAACGTATCTATGAGTGAGTTTTTCTATTAAATTTATTTTATTAGAATTTTAGAACTGTATGCCAAATAACACGTTTTAACTTTACTTTTAGCTATGTGCTGACTATAGACAATATTTACAGACAAATCAGTTTGTCACAATTTCTATTGAGTTTACTTATATGGGGCATAGTTCTTTTTCAAATGAGTATTGGTTTTGTAAGTATGAAGAATGTAAATTAGGGCTATAACTTTTATAAAATTTTTGGTAATATCAAATCGAACTTCACCATAAAGGACCCTTTTTGGTTAAGTGTGAAAAACAATGGTTCACTGAATACATTGTAGTCTTACGAATAATATAATCACTAAAATATAAAGATATATAATACATATTGTATATTATTAAATAAATTTTTCAGGAATCAAACAAAATGACTATGGTACGCATGGTATTATATCTTTCAGCAGCTGGTTATGAAATCGTTATTTTCTGCTATAATAGTCAACGTTTAACATCTGAGGTTTGATTATATTAACACTATTTATTTATTAATATTTAATTTATTTCAATGTTCAAAGTGTGAAAAAATACCACTAGCTCTATATAGCTGCGAGTGGTACAATGAATCCGAGGAATTTAAGCAACTCATACGCATGATGATTTTACGTACTAATCGTATTTTTAATCTAAACATATCCTGGTTTACTACGATGTCGTTACCAACTCTAATGGCAGTAAGTAAAATTTTGTAGAATACCACATTAAACAAGTTTTCTATATATTAATAAATTGATGTTTCAGATGGTAAAAACAAGTGGATCATATTTTCTATTACTGAGAAATTTAGCGGAGTAAATCCTGAATGAAAAGTATATGTGGAATACAATTATATAAGATACATATTTACATAATATTACATTCGGCATAGCCAAATATAGCACTAAAACTTGTCTTTTTTTATTTCTGAAACGCAAATGGCATACCCCAACATAAGAACGAACTTGAATACATTCTGATCGCCACGTTTGATTTCCCCAAAGGCATGTGTTTTGCTTGATACAATTTCTAAAATAGTTTTGAACGTGATATAGGACATCCTATATACTGGCCAATAGATTCACCGGATGATATTGACTTTGACGTGCTAAATGCATCCCCAAATTAAACCTTCTTTGGAATTATCTTCAGATCATTCAGCTACTAATGCTTTTCTTATGAGCCCCCGATAAATTGTATCTCCTTCTGGTTACTTAACGATAACAGGCACACAAATAAATTGGCTAAAATATAAAAAATAGCTCAGTGCACACTGCTTAAAATGCATACCGTTAAGAACATCAGAAAATATCGATGTCTAATAAAAAATCTTAAACTTGCTGCTCAACATGCTGCCAAACAAATCAGATATACATATTTACTATACCCTATAGGATATATTGGGTTTGTGCTGATGTTTGTAACAAACAATAATATTGGTCCTATATTATTCACCTTAAAGAATCATTTTCTGAGTCGATTTAGCTATGTCCGTTCGTCCATGTAAACCTTCTAAACAAACTACAGGTCGCAATTTTGAAGTTAATACAATAAAATTTCGTACATAATCTTCTATTATCCCAGGGACAAAGCCTATTGAGAATGTTTAAGATTGGTCCATTATTTCACCTACCACCTATACAACTGAACCCCCGAATAGGGCTTGTAAACCTTGTAATCAAATAACAGGTCGCAGTTTTGAAGACAATTCAATTAAATTTGGCACATGAAATTGTATTCTCTAAGTTTTAATAACATCAAAAGTCGTTATATGTATATGTTAAAGTTATATGCAAAGATTTTATACTTATGACCTTTGACTTCCATTATCTCATTAGGACCGCAACTTTTAGCTCTATATTTAGATTGTTTAAATGATGCTGTATGTTTTTATATTACCGTCATAAATTCTTAATTTTTGGTCAATTTGTCCTCTAATTTAGACAGATTACATTTGCAAAAGTAAATATCGCAGATGTTGTGGATGTAATGCTCACATTCGCTGCATGGTATTATAATTAATCTCTAAACCCAAATTTCGATCGAAATTTAAGAATCAGTACATAAAATGGGAAGAAAATTTCAATATAAAAACTGTTTTCCAAAAAGTCCTATCTGGAGATTTTTTTTAATTCAGCTATTTTTCAAAATACAAATGAATAACATTATTTAACGAATCCGTCAAGATACATAGTTTTTTTTAAACAACGCGATATGATAAAAATACAGCTTAATCGGACTGTTTGTTTGCATTTCTGAAAACTTTGTTAGAACCCGCATAGTAGTAATATTCAAAACAGGGACGATATCATATGACAACATATTTACATACATATACATTAGAATGCTCCAAAAAACGAAGTTGCGAATTTCACCCCCCCCCCCTCTAGAATTGATCTTTGGGTTTTAAAACTATGTCATACAAAAAATTAGGCTGATAGGATAACGTTAACAGGTGCCGCAACGGCTCTGAAGTTTTCAAGTTTTCTAAAAGATGTTGTTTTCTAAAAGATGTTGAGTTTTCCCTAATTAATTTGTTACTTAAAAATAGGTAGGCATGTTATATATCAATGGAAAGGTAATTTTGTCTATTTTTCAAAACTGTATATAATTTTTGAAAATTAAAAAATTCGCGGAATACTTTTTTTAAAAAAATTTAAAAAATGTTTTTTATTCAGTTTTTGCGAAGATACAAATTTTTCAAATTGCAATAAAAATTATTATTTATTTATGAATATTTTTTGATGAAATTTTACAGTTAGGTAGATTTTTTTACTCAAAATCCAAAATTAAATAAAAATTTCGAATTTTCTTATTAGAAATCCGGAATTATTGCCTATTATATCCATACCAGGGGCGGGGTTATCGAAACCCGTTACAAAATGATTAAGAACATATTGGGTCATATAAAACAGGTCACTATAATTTGATATCGACTATGCGATTTGAGAATTTTTGCTCAAAATTGAATTTTCCATAAAAAATAGGGTTTTTTGGATGGACCTGGTCCCCTCGGTATGAAAAATTTTTAGGTTTTGTTTCATTTATCGTATTTTATGTAAAGTCAGCTTTCCAAAAAGTATAAATTCTATGTACATCTTCTTAGAAACTTTTTAGATAACTTAAAAAGAAAAAGATACTTTTTTCCCAAAAAAATGGCAAAAAATCGCCTTTTTTTAATTTTTTAAATTAAAATGCCTATAACTTTGGACTCAGTCATAATTTTTACATAATTCTTTCACTGCTTGATATATAAACTTGTTGTTAAGCGAATAGAAAAAAATGGCGAAAATCGGGAATATTTGGACCCGCTATTATCAAAAAACTAAAGTAAGGACGGTAAAAATTTTAATTTTCAAATGCGAATATCTCCTAAACTATAAGAGATAATTTACTGCTACGACGACATTTTTATAGTGCTCGATGAGGAGATTCTATAAATCGGAACTCAAATGAAGAAATAGGATCGTTTTAAAAATTTAACATAGCCGAGTTGTCCTAATTTGAGGACCCCCCCGCCGGGCCCCTGGTTGGCCTATAAGGTCCAAATTCAAAACCTAAACCTCAAAACCTAACACCTCCTCTTTGTGCATACCAAATTTCATTAAAATCGGATTAACCGTTTAGAAGTTACCGAATTATTTCCCTCTTTTTTTCCCCTATACCACTGTGCGACCGTTTCAAATCTCCAATTTCAGTTTTTTTGAATCTTTGTTAAACAAATTTCAAAATTTTTAGGACAACATATGGGGATTTATGGTCAATAGATAAGGCTATTAAACGGTAAAAACATAGATCAATATTTCTTACAGTTTAGCTGTACCTGCGATTTGAACTCGGCGGATTTCGGGAAAATCGAATTTTTTTGTAATATGTTAGAGAATACGTATTAATTCTTTACTGATGCATATTTTAAATAAAGTATTATCACAGTATTATATATAGTCTAGATAATACAAAATATATATTCGAAGTTCTTAACCCATAAACTGTAGTGTTCAAAGGTCAAATTTTGCAATATTTGGGAATTCTTGGTGTACCATATCGAAATAATATGTATTTGTCGGCCATCTTTACCAAGAATGGAATGTGTAGTATATAGTCAGATATTTAAAATAGAGTTAAAAAGGTATATTAACGCTTTAAGGCACTTGGGAACAATTTAACAACAAAGTTAAAAAATTCGAAAAAACTCTCCCAAAAAACTCCTAAATACTCATAAATACGTTAAATATGAAGCAATTTCCACACTGAAAAAAATCCATGCCTAATATATACGAAAAATGTTGTACATTGTATGAATCGTTCGTTGTTTCGCACCATGAAATCCTTTCGAAATATATACGAAATTGTAAGAAATATTTTAGTATAATGCAAAATAATCTTGGAAAAATAAATTTACTTAAAATTTAAAAAAGTGAATTTTGAATAAATATGGTAAAATTTACGAAATATTAATTAATGTAAACATTTTTGTTCATTTTAAAATAATTTTTCTAATTTTAGTTCAAAATTATTCTCCACACGCATTTTTAATTTTTTTATGAAAATAATTCGTGAATAATAATATACTTTTTCTTAAATTTTATAAAAATGTTGTAGTTTTATTTAATGATAATATAATTAATATCATTATGTTTAATTTCGCAAAAATTTAAGAAAAAAATATTACGAAAGATTTTCCTACTTTCGTAAAAATAGAAAAGGGTTTTATTAAATAATATTTCGTATTATACACGAAATTTTTGTAAATATTACGAAAATAAAAGTTACGAATTTTTTATCGTAAAGTTGAACATGGTTTATTTTCAGTGCATGAAATTTAGCACAAGTCAGTTTTATGCACCCATAAAATTTACGGTATAGTATGGCGGACTATATTTGACCCTAGTCCCCGTAAAGGTCCTTAAATGCTGATAATTGGGTTAAAAATACTAGTAAAGTAACGAAATTTGACACAAATTATTTTTATAGGAATCTTAACCCCTCGACCAAATTTTCTGGCAATCGGTCAATAATAGACCCTACCTACCATATAAGGTCCCCTTCAGATAATTACTTCAACGCTCATTACTGGCTTAAAAATATCTGTATAGCAATGGAATTCGACACAAACATGCTTTATATGAACATAAATTTGTGTATCAAAGTTTATGACAATTGGTCCCTATATAAGGATCCTTAAGAAAAAGGGTTTAACTGAGTGATAAATATCAGCATAAACATAAATATCAACATAAACAAGTTTTATCGGCGGTAAAATCCTTCTCTCAAATTTTATTTAGTTCAGTCCATAATTGACCCTTCCCTCCTCCATTTGATTTTGTACTATTCATAATATGTCGTACCGTTCTCTATTTTTATGAAGTTGAAATATATGGAAAATTTCAGCATTTGTAATAGACGAAGTCATTAAAAATGCTCTAGTTACTAGAGTTGCAGGAAGTTGCAGAATAAATTTATAATACTTACTCCTGATATATAACAGTAGTATATACAATGTTCACCCAACCTTTTATAGCCCCTTTTCCTTTTCTACGGTCTTTTAAAATTTGGATTTGTATAGTTTTTTTAGTTTTTAAAGTAGGCCACGATCACTTAATTTATCCAAAAAAAATTAAACCGCACAAAATCTCAATTTAAATGCTAATTTACAAAGAAAACTTTAAGGAAAACTCATAGCCTTCATTTATGTAAAGGTGTCTAAAATCTAATTGAAAAACCTTAAAACGACAGGCATAATATATTATCAACTTTGTATATGTATAAACAGTCACAAGGTTAAGCAATAATCAAAATGTGATTTAAATTGTATGATTTGAAGTGTTAGCTATAATCTACCATCAAAAATTTATCAGAATTAAATAATTGAAAGAAATCATTTTTGGCCGGAATTGACCACCGT